CTTTGCGACATATCCTAATACTTTTCGCGCAGGCAATAAAAAAAAAAAACTCGTTCGTTTCCTTCGAAGCCACGATATTAACCCGCAATAACGTAAGCACCTGTAGCGCCGCGATAACGCGAAAATCATTGTTATATCTTTGTATGAACATTTAATACGCAATAAATATGTATATCGTCAAAATCAGATCACAGAGAGAGAGAGAGAGAGAGAGAGAGAGAGAGATTGGATGGTGGACGAGAGAGAAAGAGAGAGAGAGAGAGGAAGAAATATTTTTTACCATTCATTATTTTATTCATCTCATTCATTTTCAAGTATGATCAATCAAGACAGCCATTATTCGATCATCCGGTAAGTGAATTATCTCATATTCTTTTCTTTTCTTTTTTCTTTTTTTTTTTTTTTTTGTTTTTTCTTTTTTCCTACAAAATAATAATACCTATCTCAAAAAAATATCCCAAACTTTTAACACCTAACAAATTTATCATATAAGTTATTATAGATGTCACGTATCCATACAACACACACACACACACACACATATATATATATATATTTTTTTTTTCTTTTTACCTGACAAAACTTTTCTTTCGTCGTTCTAATCGAGAACAAATCTAATAACAACTTTCATTTCAAAATATAAATGTAAATATAAAAATAAAAAAGGAAGAAAGAAAAAAAAAAAAATAAGAAAAACGAAAAAAGAAACGTCATCTATAATTTCTATCGTTATGATTTGCATTTTACGAAGGTGAATAAATGTCAAGGGATATAATAATATTAAAATTGGCATAATACGTAAAGAATACGTAACGTGACATTCGTAGTACGTCGAAGGAACGTAGAAAACCGCGAAGATGCGCGCGCAGGCTGGCAACAGGTAAACGTCAGGTCGAGAGCGTTATGGTGGGGGTGATTAGACGAAAACGAGAGAAAGGGAGGAAGAGAGAGAGAGAGAGAGAGCGAGAGAGAGAGAGAGATAGACGAAAAGAGTGAGTAAGAGTGAAAGAGAGAAAGAGAAAGAAAAAGAGAAGAATGGCGGTCGGTGGTAGGAGGCAGGTGCGCTCTTCGGGGGTGAGGGGTAGAAGAACTTGAGGAGAGAGGTGTTGCGGTCGGGCTGACTTTCCGAGGTGGGGATCGAATCGGAGAACTTGTGCCATTAGGTTTGCTCTTTACGATCGACAGTCGAGCTCAGTAAGTCGATATCGAAGCAGGTGTTTCGAGTGTTCTCTCCCGCGATTTTCTTTCTTTCTCTCTTTTTTCTCTCTTTCTCTCTCTCTTTCTCTTACTCTCTTATTCTTTTACTCTCTTACTCTCTGTTTCTCTTACTCTCTGTTTTCTTTTTCCCTCTCTCTCTCTCTCTCTCTCTCTTTCGATTTCGTTGTTGTGGTTCGTTCGTTAAAAATCTGTTCTCCATTCGATGGATCAACGTCATTAATCATTTAACGATCTATCGATCGATTAATTTACATTACATTTGTGTACCAGTGTCTTGTGTGTGCTTATCGTGTTATCGTGAATTTTAATATTCTACTTCGAAAAGGATCTATGAATGCAAGAGAGAAAACAATAATATATGTATATTTATATATACATTATATGTTTGACGAACGTTTAACGTAAGTAATATATTATATTAATTGTAGTTATTTCGTATTGTATGTCGATGTGTTTTATTGAAAAAAGAAAAAAAAAAAGAAAGAAGAAAGAGAAAGAGAAAGAGAGAGAGAGAGAGAGAGAAAAAGAAAAAAAAGAAAAAAAGAAAAACAAAGGGTTGCAATAGAAATCATCGTTCGATTCTCGAAGATTTCGATGCGTGGATCAAACAGCACATGTATATATACGCACTCTCTTTCTCTTTCTCTCTCTTTTTTCTTTCTCCTTTCATTTTTAGCTAGTATTGAACTTTGAACTTTCATAGTTAAATCTCACAAACCGGATATTATCTATACGATTACTTCACGACTTATATACTCTGACCTTTTTATCATTTATTTATTTATTCATTCATTCCTTCTTATTCCTGATAGATTTATTTATTAACGAACAATGGTTTATACGTATGTATAATCCTTTCCAATTGTGTTTTTGGTATCTCAAGGCCAATCTGATTTTATTCATTCAAAATGCCCGCCATTTTTCATGGCGAAAGCATTGGCGAATAATTTGCGTGTGGGCGTCCACTGAGACTTTGTGTATATGTGTGTCTCTTTCTGTGTGTGTGGGTGTGTGTGTGTGTCTGTGTGTGTGTACTCGCTCGTGGAGACTTTCTACAGGACGACGATGTCATCGAATATACGTACACACTATAGATTCTTTTACGAAGTAGGACTAAAGAGTATTCATCAGAATGTTTTCCCATATGGCGTCTGATTATACTTATTCAAGAAATTTCAATCGATATTTCTTTTTATTTTTGCTTCCTTTTTTTCTTTCCTTTTCTTTTTCTTTTTTTTCTCTTCTGTTTTTTCTTTTTTTTTTTTTTTCCTTTTTTTGCTTCTAACAATTCGTTCGATAACTCGTCCGAATTTTTTTTTTTTTTTTTGATATGATGTTAACGTTTAAATTAATTTTACCATTGTATATATATATATATATAAATCTAGATAAGAAATAATTTTTTTTTATTTCGTCATTATCGTCATCTAATTAATTTGATAGATACCGTTCAATCGAGACTGCTATTTCTACCGTTCTACAAATACTCTCGAGGAAAATCTTTTGTAATTCCATGTGATATAACGATAAGTCAAAGAAACTAATTCGATTCTAATGGAAAATAATACTTAGCGCAATTTTCGATCATTTTATATATATATATATATGTATTTTTTTTTATTGTTACTTTTTTTTCTTTTTTTTTTTTCGATGGCTCAGTAAAAAGTAAAAGGAAAACGAAAAAAGGACAGAGGAGGAAGGACTCATTATCAATTTAATTATCTTCGTCGTAAACAAGTTTCAAGTCGTAGGAGGAAAAACGAAAAGAAAAAAGATAATAATAAATAAACGAAGAGAAGTATAGTCATTTAAATGAATAGTATTATTAGATCGATAAAAATGAGAAAAGTATCGTTTTTATTCGATGCAAAATAAATAACGAGGTACGTTAAAATAATGATGATTGGAAAAATATTTATCAACGATGTCGTATCAATTATGGACGTGTGTATCGTTCTAAAATATATGTTATTGTATATATAATACTTTTATATATATATATATATATATATATATATATATCCCGTAATATAATGATAAAGCAAAGAAATTAATTCGATTCTAATGGAAAATAATCCTTAGCGTAATTTCCAATCATTTTATATATATATATTTTTTTTTTCTTTCTTTCTTTTCTTTCTTTCTTCTTTTTCTTTTTTTGTTTTCATTCTTTTTTTTTTTTTTTTTTCCTTTGAATGGCTCACTAAAAAGGATATATTTATATACATATACGTATGTACATAGGTCAAAGCACGACGTTATACTACGTAGTCCGCCATTTCTCTTTTCTTCTACTTCTTCTTCTTCTTCTTCTTCTTCTTCTTCATCTTCTCTTTCATGCTCACGAAACCTTCGAAACCAGTTGGACAACATTCCTGCCGTTTCGCTGCTCGCACGCTACCTACGCCTTATGACTTTCAACCGATCTCCTTTCGATATCGAACGGACGACTACGACGGCGGTGGCGGCGGCGGCGGCGGTGGCGGTGGCGGAGGCGGCGGAGGCGGGTTCTCTCGAACCGTACGAATCCAAAACACACAATCTTGTTCAAATTCTATGTCGTATGCGAACGAATAAAATCATGTTCGATAATTTTGTCATTACAATTGCTAACGGATTATATGAATAATAATAATACAAAAAAGAAAAGAAAAAAAAAGAAAAAAAAAAAAAATGAGATAAATACGGATTTGATCCGTTCGAAAAAAAAGTTGCGATTGTGTAATTATCGATTTAGTGACAAGATTTTTTTTCTTTTTTTCTTTTTTTTTTTTTTTTTTTTTTTAAGAAAAAGAGAAAATTGCAAAAAAAGATACGAAAGAAAAAACGTATATGTATGAAGAAAAAACAAAAAGAGAAAGAATAAAATCCAATCAATATCTATATTTTTCTTTTTCTTTCTTTTTTTTTTTATTTCGTACGAACCATTAAATTCAAATAAGGATTTGATTTTGATTTTTCATTTTAATTCTAATTTTTATCCTTTTTCTCTTTCTTCGTTTCGTTCTAATTGCGAAGGCGCGAATAAAAACCGCACGTAAAAGAAGATGCGAGACACGAAGAGAACAAAAGAAAGGAAGAAGAAAAGAGTAAACAAAAAAAAAAAAAAAAAAAAGAAGAAAAAAAAAAACCAAAAAAGGAAAAAAGAAAAAGAAAAGAAAAATGGAAAAATAATAAGGAAAAAAAAGAAAAGAAAAGAAAAAAAAAAGAAAAGAGAAAAGTAATAAACGTAAGATAAAGTTGCAACGAAAATACGAGCATCATCAGAAAGGATCGTCGTTGGTTCTTGGACGTAATTCTTTTTCTTTTCCATTATTTTTTTTTTTTCTTTTTTACTCTCTAACGTTTGCGTTTCGTTGTCCTGTGTGCGCTTATACACATGCACACACACACACACACACACATATATATATATATATATATTCACGTTTAACAAAGATAGAAGAAAGATACATGGACGTGTACAGAGAACGAGTGGTTGGACGATACTCGCGTGCACGAACGCGCATACTCGGTTTCCGGTCATTAGAGAGTCGAGCGCCTAACGATAACTATAGATATCTAGGTATATACATACATACATACGTACATACATATATATATACTTTAAGTTTCACATTGTACGATCGTGTAAACGTGCACGTTGCACACCGTTCGTTCGATCTTCGTACCAGGTACACACGTTCCGAGTCTTTACTCTCTCTCTCTCTCTCTCTCTCTCTCTCTCTCTCTCTCTCTTTTTATCTTTCTATCTTTCTCTTTCCAAGTCAATTCTATACAATGAAAATGAATACGCGGTAATGTAACACAAATGGGATAATTAATAATACTCGATAAAAAATAACGATTAACGATAGAGAGAGAGAGAGAGAGAGAGAGAGAGAGAGAGAGAGAGATCTTTATCGTTAATTATCAATTACGATCGATTTGTTCTATTATCATAAATTTTTATCCTATTAGACAAATAGAACGAGATATAATAAAATAATAATAATAATAATAATAATAATGACGAAATTTTTGTTTATCTTCAAATAATGTCCGTAGAATATTATTCGACAAAAGTTAAGCGAATGTATAGAAATAATATTCTTTTCTTTTTTTTTTTTTTTTTTTTTTTTTTTTAATTTAATTTAAATCGTAAAACTTGTTTGATCGGTAAACGTAAAAAATTGAAAGGAAGAGTGAGAAAGATGGAATTAATTCAAATTTCAAAAATGTACTTTGTTCTTAAGGAAAATATTATTCTCGAAGAACGATATAACATGGTAGAGTAGAGAAATTGAATGATTAATTTTCAATATTCCGCGAGCATCGTTGTCATCATCATTATCATCATCATTATCGTCATCATTGACATCGTCGTCGACTTTGCCGTACACATCTCTCTCTCTCTCTCTCTCTCTCTCTCTCTCTCTCTCTCTCTCTCTCTCTCTTTCTGCTTTGTCTCGACGAACGTACGTACGAAAAGGTCTGATAGATAATGAAACATGTTTACTCGTTATCATTCACGTTTCAAACACGTTTAGAACGAATTATCGTTTCGAGCACACGTAATTACACATTGTTTTTCTTCTCGCGTAAACTTATTTTCTTACCATAACACAGAGAGATTTCCCATCGCATTTTAAACGAGCATAAATGATAACAATGTTATCGTCGTATCGATGTTTCCTGTGTTAAAAAAAAAAAAAAAAAAAAAAAAGAAAAAAAAAAACAAGCGTAAGGAAAAAAAGGAGCAAAAAAAAAGAAAAAAAGAAAAAAAAAGAAAAGAGCAGAAAAAAAGAAGGGGAAGAAGGAAAATCTCGAAGGAAGAAAAAAAAAAAATATATATATATATATAGGAAAAGGAAAAATAATCGATCGATCAAATCGATTAGTAATTTATTTTTCTCGTTGCTCGATTGAATATTATTTTTCACGTTTACGCATGTACTTTGTACCTTTGTATGCACGTAATTGATTATTGTTGATTGCGAAAAAAAGAAAAAGAAAAAAAGAGAAAAAAAAAAGAGAAAAAAAAAAAAGGAAAAAAAAACAAACGAGAGAAAAGGAAAAGAAAATAAAACGAAAGAAAATACGAAGGTAAAAAGAATAATTGTAAACGCGAACGTAGAAACATTCTTATCGTATCATACCGCGAATTTACGAATTGTTGCGTAATCAAACCTGCGAGCAAACCTGCACGCTCGCGTAATCGTTCATGCCAATCGCACGAGATCCCAAGACTCCGACTTCCGTTTTAATTAGCTCGTGTTTTCGTCCTTCGCTCTTATGAATTTACGTTTTCATCTTAACAACACAACATACGTGTGTATATACGTATATATATATATATATATAAAATTTTTTTTTCCTTCATATATAAACATAAATATACATGTAATGACATATCTTAACTGCATTTGGTTTGATATCGATTATATTACCATTCGAGAATTATCGTCGTGTTAGATCGAACGAACAAAGTATATATATATATATATATATATATGTACAATCGATGCTTTCGATATGTAATAAAGTTAGTATAATACATACTTACCTTAGCACGAAATAATCGATTTTATATAGATCCATAGTTTATATATATATATATATGTATGTATGTATGTATATGTTTGTATGTATGTATGTGTGTGTATATCTTTAAAATATTTAGATATAAAATTTTCTTTCCTTTTCTTTTTTCTTTCTTTTTCTTTTTCTCAACATTTGTCCTTGATATTTCACAAATGAAAAATAAATAAACAAACGGAATGAAGAAAAAAAAAAAGAGAAAAGAAAAAGAACGATTATCTTATCGTCTAATATATATATATCTTTTTCTTTCTTTCTTTCTTTCTTTTTGTTGTTTTTTTATTTTTCGTGAAACCGAATTTCTCTTCGAGTTAAATAAAAAGAAGAAGAAGAAGAAGAAGTTGAGATAGATAAGGTTACGTTCTTTTTATCTATTTTTCTCTTTTTTTTTTTTTTTTTATATATGATTATTCGAACGTGCACTGCTTGAGTCATACTATAACTATGAACAAATATTCTCCGTTTATTATTTACAATGTTGATATAATATATGGGAATATATGCGTGTTTATCTATTATTAATCGTTTCTCATATCGCGATCGTAACGAAGGAATACGACAAGGATGAATAGACGTTCGCGTGTATTTTTCTTTTTTCCCTCTCTCTCTCTCTCTCTCTCTCTCTCTCTGTCTCTCTCTTTCTCTCTTCCTTCATTTTTTGTTTTTGTTTTTCTTCTGTTTCCTCTATTTACCTCTTTGCCGATTAAAAATCTCACGGCCAATATAATATCTTTCACTTTTGGATAATTAGAATACCGTACGATCGATTTATAATATCGATGATCGAACATATACAATTGAACGAATGAATAATTAATCGATTGGAAAAAAGAAAAAAAAAAAAAAAAAGAAAAGGGGTAAAGAAAAAATAATCCCTTGTTTTAGATCTTACGATCGTCGATTATCATCGATTATTTATTAAATAAATATAAATAAATATGAATCGATTTAATTGTAGAATTATCTTTAGAATTATTCCTTTGGATAAAAAGTTTTAACAATTTAACGTTATCAAAATATTTCATCTGAAAAAAAAAGATATATATATATATATATATATGCTAATTTATTTTTATTTTATTAATTCTTCTTTTCAGCATAACGTAACGTCCAATGGCAGACGAGCCTCCTCTAATCGAGTGATTCCATACGTGTATCGTTAAAGGACGATCTTGAAGATGACAACGAGCGAAGATAATCGTTCGACCGTGAAACGAGATCTATGATGACGATGTCGAACTTTGACGTCGTTATTAGAATCGACAGAGATAGAGATAGAAAAAGATTCGTGGATCTTCGTAAATATACAAAGATTCTAAGTGACTTTTATTTACTTACGAAATACTCGTCGTCTCTTGCACGTGAGAAAAACAGAGAGAGAAAGAGAAAGAGAGATAGAGATAGAGAGATAGAGAGAGGGAGAGAGAGAGAGAGAGAGAGAGAGAGAGAGAGTGAAAGAAAAAAGAGAAAGAGAGAAGAGAAGAAAAAGGGATATAGAGAAAGAAAAATATTGAGGGGCGAAGAAAGAAAGAAAAAGAAGTGGGGGGGGGGAAATAAAAAGTAGAAAAATAAAAGATGTCGCCTCTCGTTAAAATGATGACCTTCGTACTCTGCGTCATGGGTTCGATCGTGACAGGTCTTAGTTTACGTGGTAACAAATGCGGACAGAAAGTTTGCAATACCACGGAATATTGTAGCCGATTTGATACTCAATGTAAACCATGTTCTACGATTTGTAATCCGGAGGATCATAATCATCAACCAGAGGACTGTTTAAAGGATTGTCAAGGTAAGAGAAATACGTGTTTCTTTTGATAGTATAAATAATTATTACTTATTTTATTTATTCTATTCACTATTCTTCTCTCTCTCTCTCTCTCTCCCTCATTCTCTCTCTCTCTCTCTCTCTCTCTTTCTTCCTCTCTTTATATTCATCGTTCTATTCGAACCGTTAGAACGTGACGGTTTATTACATTCTATTCTATAGGAAAAAGAAGAAGAAGAAGAAAAAAAAAAAAAAAGAAACAGGAAAAAGAAACAACAGTTTTTCTCTCTTCTCCCACGTTCTTCTTCTACATCTTTTTCTTTTCTTCTTTCTTCTCCCTCTCTCTCTCTCTCTCTCTCAATCTCTCTCTCCCTCTGTCTATTTCCCGTCTCTATCTATTTCTTAAGATGGTTAGATATAAAAGGAGAAACGATGAACGTTTCTGAAGAAGTTTCGTTTGGACGTAAACCATACGAAATAGGTGGTCCCTTGAAAAAAAAAAAAAAAAAAAAAAAAAAAAAAAAAAAAAAAAAAAAAAGAAAAAAGGGACCATCTCTAGTTCGAGCAACTAAACCGGTTTCTCTCTCTCTCTCTCTCTCTCTTTCTCTCTCTTTCTCTCTTTCTCTTTCTTTTGCTCTACTGCCCGGATAAATATTACCCTTAGGGATCTGCTAAGAAAAAGAGAGAGAGAGAGAGAGAGAGAGAGACTTCCAACTTGACGTTATATATAGGTTCTCGTTCAAAGGTACAGGTCTTTTTCCCTTTTTCTCTTTTTTTTTTTCCCCCCTTTTTTCCCTTTTTTCCCTTTTTTCTCTTCCTTCAACTCTCTTCCCCCCCCCCGTCGAAAAGGAATACCGACTCAAAGGAATCGTTTCGTTATATAAGACCCAAAACAAATTTGAGTCACGTTTTGAGTACCTGTTTCCACGGCTCAAACTTCGCCATTTAAAAAGCTCTATTTTTTGTTAAGAATCAATTGCGAAAAATTTCGAATTTCTACGAACGAGAGAAAAAATAAGAATTGTTTTGTTTAAAAACATTTGAAAATATTTATTGTAATAGTGCGTTAACGAATAAATATTTTAGGATTGACGAGTGGAAATTTTTTTTTTGTTTCTTCACTTCTTTTTTTTTTTCTTTTTTTTTTCGGAAAAGTTCATTGATATTAGATCGTTAATCAATTTTAATCGATTAATACGAATATCTAACTATTTGTTTTCAATGATAACTATTAATTATGCGTATCTATATATATATATATATATATATATATTTGTGTGTGTGTGTGTGTGTGTATGTGTGTGAGTGTATCTTATCTCTGTTTTCCTCGTGTTAATACGTTTCTTAGAATAAACTACGTACGTACGTAGTTACGTTAGATATTCATATCCTTTCGAGTATATGTAAGTACGTTACCACGATGTTGGAAGCAAGTTA